GGGCCCACTGCACTCCAGTCTGGGCGACAGAGTGAGACTCCAACTCAAAAAAAAAAAAAAAAAAATTGCTACAACGTTGGAGAGCAATTTAGCAATATCTAGTAAAGTGAAGAATATGCATGTGAAATTCCTTGCCTATGCGGGGCGTGGTGGTGCATGCCTGTAATCTTAGCACTTTGGGAGACCAAGGTGGAAAGGATCACTTCTTGAGCTCAGGAGTTCAAGACCAGCCTAAGCAACATAGAAAGACCTCATCTCTACAAAAAAATTAAAAAATAAAAAAAATTTCTTGCCTAAAACATAAGTCCAAAAAAGTGAGCATACATGTCTACCAAAAGATATGTCTAGAATGTTCATAGCAGCACTAGTCATAACAGCCCCAAACTGGAAACTTCCCAAATGTGAGTCAATTGTGATGTGTTCACACAATAAAGAATGAACAATCAGCCGGGCTTGGTGGCTCAGCCTGCAATCCTGCGCCTTTGGGAGGCTGAGGTGAGTGGATTGTCTGAGCCCGCGGGTTCGTGACTCGCCTGGGCAATTTGGCGAGACCTCATCTCTACAATAAATCAAAAATTAGCTGGGCGTGGTAGCGCACGCCTGTAGTTCCAGCTACTTGGAAGGCTGAGGCGGAAGGATCGCCGGAGCCCAGCAGGTCGAGGCTGTGGTGGCCGGGAGCGGCCACTGCACTCCAGTTTGGGCGACAGAGTGAGACTCCAACTCAAAAAAAGAATGAACAATCTACAACTATATACAACATGAACACATCTCAGAATCACATAGGTGAGCAAAAACAAAACAGTTACAAAGCACTGTACACTGAGTGAATTTTCATTTATGAAAAGTATAAAAACCCACAAAACTAGTCTATAGTGTTAGAAGTTGGGATAATTGGTACCCTTGGGGAGTACTGACTGGAAGGGAACTTGACAGGGTGAGTGTGCTTTGGGTGCTGGTCACATGTTTCTTGCTCTTGATGCTGGTTTCACAGGTGTGTTCTGTTGATGAAAATTCACCAACCTGTATCGTTTTGATATCAGCTCTTTTCTATATGTTTATTGTACATCAGTAGATAAGTTTTTAAAACTGCTTTCTTAATGATGTGACTGCTTACCTTACAATGTATTTGGAAGCATTTACATCCAAGTAGGAACCCAAAACATCAAGGTCTTAGCCCCTAGAGAGAAAGAAGACTGAACTTTTTAGCATGTAGAAAATGTGCCTGGGGCATGAGAACTTCCCCTATCCTTGGAGAAGGAGGAAAATAGGAGGGCAGGTTGTTATCTACAGGCTGTGGAGACAGTTCTCTCTAAAGGACAGTGACAGGGGACCCCAAAAAAATGGAATTTTTTTAGAGGGCAAACCCCTTGTAGTATAGGCTCCCTCCACTAGATAAGTGTTCTAGGAACTCACTGGTATCAGTGTATCAGCTAGCGTTTTGAGAGACTACATTCGGCTTTGGTGACTTTTTTGGAGATTCTTTTTTTTTTTTTTTTGAGTTAAAGTCTCACTCTGTCGCCCAGACTGGAGTGCAGTGGCCACTCCCGGCCACCGCAGCCTCGACCTGCTGGGCTCCGGGGATCCTTCCGCCTCAGCCTTCCAAGTAGCCGGAATTACAGGCATGCGCAACCACACCCGGCTGATTTTTTGATTTATTGTAGAGATGAGGTCTTGCTGCCCAGGCGGGTCTCGAACCCGCGGGCTCAGGCAATCCACTCACCTCAGCCTCCCAAAGGCGCGGGATTACAGGCTGAGCCACCAAGCCCAGCTTGAAGATTCTTTCAACACGTTTGCTCATTCATAATAGGGGATGTAGACACACACTGCCCACACTGTGCTGAGTGTTCAGCAGTTTTTGACCAAAACAGCATGACCCCTGTGTCCCACCCTCTCTATTCATTCTGTCTCTTCTCAAGTGACTTTTTTTTTGTTTACATGGATGAAAGAAGTCCTCAAAGGGAAATGTTTTGCTGATATGGAAGAGGTAAAAGAAAAAACCGCGGAATCACTAAATGGCATTAAAATTACCAGTTCAAAAACTGTTCTGAGCAGTGGAAAAAGCATCTCGATAGGTGTATTGCATCAAAGGAGAGTACTTTAAAGGTGACTGAAGTTGAAACATGTAAGAATAATTATACAATTTTTTATAAATCTGGATTTTTTGCACCCCCCCGTATGTCTGCCCAGAAATCATCAATTGAATGCAGATGAGCAAAAGCATCCTATCCCTATTCTCCCACCTGGGCTAGGACATCTGCACTGATTGGTTCGTGGGCTTTTGACATCTCTTTTCCTGGTGTCTTCTCCAAAAAGCTCACAGCAGGTCATGCTAAAGAAACTTTGCTTCCCCACTCCTTCCATCCTAATAATCTCTGCAAGTGTCTGAAAACCCAAACCAGAAGGAGGGAACCAAGCCATTTATGATAAAATAATAAGAATGATGCTGTCCATGTTTCCACAGGTGAAGCAAATCATGGAGGAGGCTGTCACCAGGAAGTTTGTGCACGAAGATAGCAGCCACATCATTGCTTTGTGTGGTGAGTGAGTAACTAAAGGATGGTAGGAGCTGGGTCTAGAACTAAGGACAGTATTCTGGGACCAGGAAAAGATGAGTCCTCATGTTTAGTGGTTCTCGAATCTGGCTGCAAGTCTGAATCAACTCGGAAACTTTTGAAATCTTCTTGGGCCCCAAGAACCTACTAAATCAGACCTACTAAATCAGGATCTTTGGTGACTAAAAATGTGTATTATCTTTTTAAATCCCAAGGACAGTAATTCTCATATTAGTGTTCATCAGAATCACCTGAAGAACTTGTTAAAACACAGACTTCTGGGTTCCACCCTTGGAGTTCCTGATTCTAGTAGGGGTGAGGTAGGTCTGGAGTAGATCTGAGAATCTGAATTCCTCAAAAGCTAACATATAGTGCTGATGTTGTTGGTCTGTGGACCACACTTTGAGAACTGTTGCCCTAGGTAAGTTGGGTTCAGGAACCACTTCTCTGATGGTGTATCTGATGTATTCTTTTTTATTTTTTATTTTTTGAGTTGGAGTCTCACTCTGTCACCCGGGCTGAAGTGCAGTGGCACACTCCCAGCCACTGCAGCCTCAACCTGCTGGGCTCCGGCGATCCTTTCACCTCAGCCTTCCAAGTAGCCAGAATTACAGCCATACACTACCACGCCCGGCTACTTTTTTATTTATTGTAGAGACGAGGTCTTCCCACATTGCCCGGGTGGGTCTCGAACCCATGGGCTCAGGCAATCCTCTCACCTCGGCCTCCCAAAGTGCTGGGATTACAGGCGTGAGCCACCGTGCCTGGTCCAGTATGCTAGTCTTATGATAAGTAACTTTGAAGAGTTATTAGAACTCTCTTCCTTTCCACCTGTGCCATTGCCTTGACACTAGCCAGTGTCTTTTGTCACCAGAAGGGCTATGCTAGCAGCCCAGATATGCGTGGCTCAGTGCTAGGCTTTATCAAAGCACACACACTTGAGAAAACAGAATAAAATGGTGCAAACAGCTTGTGCATGGGTGCTATGTGTGGGTAGCTGTGGGAGAATGAGGGAAAGTGACTGGAGGAAGAGAGGCAGGAGAAAAGCTGTGGGTGTCTCGCATTCAGGCTATAAGGGTAAGAAAAAACTGTCAGGTCTCCTCCAATCAGTCCAGGAACCCCCTGGGATTCAGTGAGGCTCTCACTTTTGTCCTTTACCTGAAACCAGAGCTCTTTCCAGAAGGCAGGGCTATCACACTCAAAAGGAATGATTTCTCTACTTTTAGCCAGTTTGACTTGCTGAAATAGGACAAGACCCTCAGGTTGCCAGGCTTCTAAACGCAACCCAGGAACAAGAGGAGCCCATTCCTGTCAGTCCTCAGGAAATGCCTCAGGTCCACCAATACAAACTTAAATGTCTACAGGGTCAGACCTAAACTTTTTTACAAAGGAAGTTGGCCAGGTGTGGGACAGTAGACAGTATTCTCTGTATGAATTTGAGTCCAAACTTCCCATGGCCTCTTTAGTTTTTCTTTTGTCAGGGTCTCTCTCTGTTGCCCAGGTTGAAGACAGTGGTACAATCACTATCACCACAGCCTTGACCTTCTAGACTCAGGCAGTCCTTCCACCTCAGCCTCCCAAGTAGCTGGGACTACAGGTGTGTGCCACCATACCCAGATAATTTTTATTTTGTATTTTTTTAGAGAGGCTATCTCACTATGTTGTCTAGGCTAGTCTTGAACTCCTGGGCTCAAGCAATTCTCTCACCTCAGCCTAGGATTAAAGTGCTAGGATTACAGAGGTGAGTCACCATACCCAACTGCCTCTGTTTTATTTTAAGAAAAACCTTAAGTCTGGTTTTTATATTAAATTTCCCCATTTATTTTGTTTGTTGCTATTGTCGTTTGTTTTGTTGTTGTTTTGAGTCAGGGTTTCATTCTGTCACCCAGGCTGTAGTGTAGTGGCATAATAAAGGTTCACTGCAGCCTCCAACTCCTCGGCTTAGGCAGTTCATCCACCTCAGCCCCCCATCCCCCAATAGCTGGGACAATAGGCACGTGCCACCACATTCAGCTAATTTTTAAAATTAATTTATTTATTTTAATTGAAAAATATAGTTTATTTAGAAAGTAAATTAGAAAGAGATCAAAAAAGAGAGAGGAGATTCACCTCCCCAAGGTAGGGAAGGGGGCCAAAACTAGGAAACATGGTGGCCACAGCAAAGAGCCATGAGGATACACCAGAGTTTAGCAAAGCAATGGTCTTTTTTTGTAGAGACAGGGTTTCACTGTTGTCTAAGCTGGTCTTGAACTCCTGGGATCCAGTAATCCTCCCACCTCAGCCTTCCAGAGTACTGGGATTACAGGCATGACCCACCACTCCCTCCTGAAATTTCTCACTTTTTAAATACTGACAACTAATTCCCTTTTTTTTTTTTTTAAATTGTGTGGGCCAAACAAAAGACATCTGCAAGCCTCTGCCAGTTTGCTGCCTCTGCCTTGTGCTCAGTACAATAGTTACTGAGGAGTATGGGAGCCAAGAGGTTGCTTACTGCATAGAGGTAAGTTGAGCTAGGGCATCTAAGATTCATAAGGAATTCCTATGCTTTGTCAAAACTGGTATTCACTGGTGAGGTTAATCCCATTTGGGGTTCAAAATAAGGTTACTTTGAAGCATTGATTGTACCTTTTTTCCCCTGCCTACAATCCATTTCCATGTATCACATAGTCAGGGAATCACAATCAGGGATTCTTGCAGAGAAGGGGGAGGGAAGACTAGCTGTGTATTGTTCAAAAATGCCACCTTTCTGCCTTTTTGGAAATTCTGATATGCCAATCTCCCTCACCCCTTAGAAAAATGCTCTGAAATTCATTTGCAGTCTGAAATCTATCCAGACTTACTCTGAGTCTTGCTACTGAACTAGCCATATCCAGAATTCAGCTTTGTTCTGGGAGAAATGTTTGTACAGAAAACATGCTGAGAGGTCAGGAACAAAGTGAGGGATGTGGAGAATGGATTTAACAGTGGAGTGACAGCACATTTCCTAGAGCTTCAGGGAGCACTAGTGTACTAGGTTCTTCACCTCTATGCTGGCCCTCTGTACTTGGCAGAGAAAGGTTAGAGGGTAACTGAGGAAAGCCAAACTCAGGCAAGATGAGCTTCTCTGAGCTTCCTTAGGATACAGACATTTGAGAAGGAAGAAAGGGAGGGAGGGAGGGAGAGAGAGAGAAGAAAAGAAAAGAGAAGAGAAGAGAAAGAAAACCTTTCTAAGGAGAGCCTTAGACATAGAAGAGAAGGCCAGGCATGATGACTCATGCCTATAATCCCAGTACTCTGGGAGGCCGAGGTGAGAGGATTGCCTGAACCTGTGGGTTCGAGACCAGTCTGGGCAACTTGCCAGGACCTCATCTCTACAATAAATTTTAAAAAATTAGCCGGGCATGGTGGTGTGTGCCTGTGGTTCCAGCTACTTGAAAGGCTGAGGCAGAAGGATTGCCTGAACCCAGCAGGTCGAGGCTGCAGTGGCCAGGAGCATTCCACTGTCCTCCAGCCTGGATGACAGAGTGAGACTCCAACTCAAAAATAAATAAATAAAATAAAATAAAGAAATAGAAGAGAAGAGAAGAAAAAGTAATAAAACCTTCCTGGAGAACCTTAGAAATAGAACTGAAGGCCAGGTGCAGTGGCTCAGCCTGTGATCCCAGCACTTTGGGAGGCCGAGGCGAGAGGACTGCCTGAGCCCAGCAGTCTGAAGTTCCAGCTACTTGGAAGGCTGAGGCGGAAGGATCTCCTAAGCCCTGTAGGTTGAGGCTGCGGTGGCCATGAGCATACCACTGCACTCCTCCAGCCTGGGCAACAAGAGTGAGACTCCAACTCAAAAATAATAAAAATAATAATAATAAATAAAAGAAAGAAATAGAACTGGAAAACCCCTGAGTCAGGACCTGGTCATGGACAAGCCCAGAAAAATTTGTAGCCAGACCCCTGTTCCTATTGGACAAGACTCCTAGGACTGGTAAGAAAGATGCTTTGTTGAGTGTTTGCCATGGTTGTTCCTAAGCCCTTCTGTCTGGAAGCCAGTATGCATTATCCCTTTTTGTCTGAAAACATCATGTCAAGTTCACATTTTGCTCCATAATGTGGTCTTCAGGTGTTTTTTTTTTTTT